ATTAGATCAAATCACACTTTTATTTGTGTAAAACTGAAATAAAACCAGTTTCTTAAAACTGAGTTTAGTGTGAAAGTTTAATAACAGGAATAACAAACAAGGACATATACAGGGGGAGGCAAGGGGGGCAGTGCCTCCCACCTGGACATGTGAAGGGGAGGGGTGGACCTCGCTAGAACTCAGAGCTATCACACTTTTCCAATCTTAAACTGAGAGTGAAAAACATTAAAAAAAGTTTGCTGTTCAGAAATGGTGTTGCCCCCTCCCCTCCACTAAAACAATTTTATATTTTTGCAGTGCTGCAACTTTGTAACCTTATTTTCACTTTTAAGTTCAAGGAGTACACACAGTTGAGTTGAGTTCACAGAATTCATTTTCAAAAATGTCTTTTACTATCTGTAGTGTAGATATAAACAACACATTAAAAAAATGTAATATTTTTAGAAACATGTTTTTTTCTACTAGTTTTGTTTGAAGGAGAGATAAAGTAGTACTTGCAGGGTAATTGGACTGTATGTGAACCTTTAAAATATCTTATACTTATGCCTGATATCCAAATAACCAATTTATTTAAAATTTTAAGTTTAAATTTTGCCCACCCGCACTGCACTCCAATTGAAAATAAGAACACCTTCAATATTACCATTCATGTATCCTGCTGGCCTTAAGTGTGGGGGGCTATGCAATGCAACCCCCCCCCCAAAGAAGTCTTTTCTTTACAATAAGAGATATCCTTTTCTTGGATTATTTAGTGAAATCTTTTTCCATGATATAATTTCTCCTTGGATTTTTCTATCAGCAAGAATTCACCCCCCCTCCCTGATTGGTACAATTGTTGAAAACAACAATCTGTATTTGAAAGGTCAGCAGTTTGAAATTTAAAAATAAACTTTCGTAAATTCAACTGAAACAAATACTCAGCACAAATCAGTTTTTAAAAATTAAAGTTAAAGACAATTCCCAAATACTAAAAATTGAACTTAACAAGCATTTCTTAGATCTAGATCATGATCTGATTTTCATTATTAACAATTATCAGCCTGCTATTAATATTAATTAAATATAAAAATGTGAAATTTGATAATATTTACGTTTTCACTGACATTTAATTAGCAGTATCTTAAACCTTTTCCTGATTAAACCTCAAGAACTGGCTTGAAATCTAGAATTAAAGTTTTCAACCGAAGTTTTTTATGAAATATAATAACCATATTTAATATATTCCCGTCAAATTGTCAATTGACAAGGAATAGTTTACTTAGTGTGACGTGTCGGGGGGAAGCGCTGGAATTGAAATAAACTCCAGCCTTCCTTCTCTCTCTCTCTAAACTCTCTAATTCAGTTCTTTCCTCTGCAATTCCGCATTCACCTGAAACACACTGAAATATCCACAATTCTACATTAAAACTGATGTTTAATTGTTTGAACTGGAAAAGCATATAACAATTAGTAAATTTACATTATCAATCTTGAAATATTACCGTAGTTTACCCGTTAAATAGGATAAAAACTGAGTTGAGTAATACGCAGTACTAGGACAGGCGTTTCAGCAGAACTGGCAGTCCGATCAGCTGTGCAACACTAGCGATATAATTCCTCGTAGCGGCAATGTGTGGAACTAAACAGCTTATCATTGACTAGGGGTCCTCAACTGTTCATATTTTTTAAATATTATATCGTATTGCAAAAAGAAAAGTTCTCTTCAATTCGGAATCGAAAACTGTTGTGAACAAAATAAAAAGAAACACATATTATTATTTTCCTATGGTTAACTTAACTAACTTAATTTGCTAGAATAATATGTATATTTCTTAGAGGGGGAAGCATTGCCCCCCCCCCCTCGAGACATCCTGGATCAGTGAAATCTCTAGTTTCTAGTTTTTTATCCTAATTGGCGCAGAGCACCCAAGGCCCACCAAAAAGATAAAATGCAAACACCCCCCCCCCCACTTGGACAATTTCCTGTAAACGCCCCCCCCCCCAGGCCTTTGAACTGCTGGTCCCCTAAATGAAAATTTTCATATTATTATATTTAACGTTTGTAAAATTAAAAGGTCAAAACCTCAAAGGTAAGTGGAATAGCACGTAAAAAATATATGGACAGAGGCAAAAAGCCCCCCCCCTGGGAGATGAAATGTCCGTCCGAAAATACGCTCATTCCATGACCTATGTGCAGATACAAAATCCTTGTAAAAAAATTTGCATTTTTCAGGATTAACCACAAACTCACGGCCTTCACTCTTATTTTTATTCAGTTTTGGACAAATCATTGAAGACAGCTATTTATGTCTTGATTAATCCTGATACAAATCAGTATATGTCAATAACAGCTTAAAATGTATAATTGCAGGGGCGGAATAAAAAAAATAAAAATATACCTTCTATCTTTTACCTTCTCATTTTCTGTCTATTTAGTACTGCAGATGTCTCCTTTCCTTGATAACCTAGATAATAATTCATTTTCTAAATTCATTTCATATTTTTAACACTTTAAAAAAACCTTGCATATAATTTGTATGAGATCGTTCTAACTTCTAAAAAATAGTTGAAGCTTTCAAAGAATTTCTTAATTGACCCATTTTTATAAATACGTAAATTTTTAATAACTGCAAAAATGAGAAATCATAGATTTTTGAATGCAAAAAAATAATTAATCTACCAATAACAATAATCATACTTTATGCACCATAATTTAAAGGGACTGTAAGCGCCATTTCAAGTGACCCTCTATATGTATATTTCTCCATTATTTCTTGTAAATAAGAACTGCACAATTATATATCTCACAAGGTGCTCTAAAAAAGGCTTTAACACCTAAATGTTCCTAAAGATAAGCTTAAGATAGATTTAAAAACGCATTCAACAATCAACATGCTAGTTTTTATTATTTAAATCGTCCTTAGTGGCTTAACTAGCACTTTGTGATCGGGGTAGGGGGGGGGGGTGAAATTTTATTTTTAGGGGCTGGGGTGGGGGGCTTTAGCCCCCAGCCCCCCTGTCGAAAAATTTGTCAAAAAAATAATCCATAATAGTCTTTCTGATCAGAGTACCCTCTCCTTGTTTGCCAGTATCACTGTTTTCCTCTTAAAGTCTGCAAAAGTCCTAATAGTCCGATATAATCCTTAAATTAATTTCTTTTTATCTTCTTAGGCTGTCAGGGTTTGAGTAACCTTTAATGGTATATATATTGTAATACTCATTAAAAGTACCATATAGACAGGGGTTTCTTAGAGGATAAATTAAGAATGATTGACTTTCTTTAAGTCGAAAACGAGAAAATAGTTAGAAACTCTACTAAAAATGATGCGCGAAGCGCCAAAGTAAAAAGGTTGGTATTTTTTTAATTGACAAATGATCATGCTGGAGTCAAGTGAGGGGGGTGAAATATGCTGAGGGGGGGAAACATGTTGAAGGAGGAGGGGGCTAAATTGGGTATTGATATATGTTATTATGTTATTACAGGGTGTTCCCAAGAAAACACTTCTAGTCTTAAGACTAAATTTTTAACTAATCAGAAATAGTTGAGTGGACTTATATTATCAGAAAAAAACTAATTATCTTAGTGATTTACTTGAGAGTCTAAAAATCATGTTTTATTTACTTTGAAAGAAGGAGAAAAATTTGAGATAAAAATCTGTCGTCGTCGTATATATCAATAAAATGTAGACGACTATAGATTAAGTTTTCGAGGTTTACCAAGCTTTCAAACAGCATTGATTCAAATAAACAATGGACACAAAGAGAAGCTGTCAATTGACAGATTTCTCTGTTTTCTTGTCTTGTAGTTTTACAAAAGCTTGTAAAAAATAGAAACTTAAAAAGTAATGTCGTCTTCGCTGTATTACAATAAACGACGCCCACTGTTTTTCCGTCATTTGCTAAGAAATGCAGTATTAAACTGTCGAACACCATTATTATTTAACAACAGGAATTTGTCCAGGTGGGTTAGTTTTAATGTTATAATTCCTCCCCAGACTGAATACCTCCCTTGCTTTTTATTATTCATTAAGAGGGGGGAGGGTCAAATCCCAAAGCCCCACCCCCTCCCAACTGAAATTTACTAATGAAGGGTAATAAAATCATAATAAGATTTGTTCCCAGCTGAAGAATAAAAGCCGAAAAAAATTGTTAAAGCTTAAAACGTGAGACTCGAATTATTATTATTATTAGTTTTGTGTGAAACTGGTTCAAATAATGCCGGAGGAAGGACAAGTTTAAGAGATAAAGATATAGCTTAGTTCTCTGCTGACTACCTTCAGTGCTCAACCTCAAATACAGGATATACCTTCACCTAGAGTTATCTAAACCCAAAGAAACTAATGTATATGTTAGAGTTGTGCTTAAACATTTTTGTTTTATAAATTGATATCTAAAAAACGTCTTCTCGGTATTCAGCTGACATTGAACAGACAACTTTTATATCCATATACTGTGGTAAGCGATTGTATCACTACAGTGAAGACGACTTTTTAAATAAAATTTTGATTTAATAAAGCTTTTTTCGAGTTACAAGTTTACAAGCAATCAAAGAGAAGCTTTTTTAATTAATAAATTCCCTTGACTTCTATGTTTTTGTGTATCCATACTGTTTAACAGCTTAATTTAAATCAAAATTAAATTCGAAAGTCGTCGTCATTGTATTGATTTAATCGCCACCACTGTAATAAACTATCCAAAATTCTATACACAGTATTTCAATTACTATTTTTAAAAATTGAGATTCTAGGCACCTTTTTTCTTTTAAGCAAAAGTGAACAACTTAAACCTTTGATATTTAAAATTTGATAAAACAAAGTTTTTAGTTTAAAATATCAAAGGATAACAGGTTTGTTGAAAGAACTTGGTTCCTCTCTTAATATCTCCGTCAATATTTTGTTAAACTTTTACAAATAAATGTTACTTACATTGTTTACAAACAATACAGCGCGGGCCAAAGATCATATAATTACGACGCTTAATTCTCATGTTTTTGGGAACCCCCTGTGCTAAAATTTTTAACATTGAATCCAGAATGCTTATCTTCAGGTATAAAATGCGTAAGTGCGTAGTATACGGAGGATGTGGAGGGCTAGGTCGTGAGATTGTGAACTATCTCAAAATCAAGGGAGTCTGGACATTATCAGGTCAGATCTTGTCAAGGGAGTCTGGACATTATCAAGTCAGATCTTGTCAAGGGAATATGGACATTATCAGGTCAGATTTTGTCAAAGGTTTTGACATTATCAGGTCAGATCTTGTCAAGGGAGTCTGAACATTATCAGGTCAGATCTTGTCAAGGGAGTCTGGACATTATCAGGTCAGATCTTGTCAAGGGAATATGGACATTATCAGGTCAGATCTTGTCAAAGGTTTTGACATTATCAGGTCAGACTGAGCAAATTTTAGTTCTTGGCAAAGACTCGATTGCTTTTACTCCAAATCGTTTTAAATGGACTGAAGACATAATTTTAGGTGACCCTTCGTTTAAAGAGGGTCTTGTGTGATTAATGAAGTTACTGTTTAAACCTTTCACTGATCAATATTATGGAGAACATCAGCTTTTTTTCTATCTTTTCAAGTGATTAATTCTGACAAATAAAAATGTGCATTGTGCAAGTCATTGTGAAACAACAATTGAAAATAATCGATTTATGGACATATCCATTCATTCCAGAAATACCCAAGTAGTAGAAAATTACCCAAGTCAGCTTTAGATGCAGTAAAATGTTATTCTACATAAAAGATAAAAGAGGTATAAGTTCATTTTAATCACAGCACAAGCTTCCAAAATCCCATTTCAGATATGTGCAATCTGCAACACAAAACTTTTATCCAAGATAAATATTGGATATTATAGTTTCATTGATTCTCAATAAGATAATGAACAAAACTGTCAAGTTATTAAAACCAGTATCTAAACCCCGCCGGTTTAAGCTTAGAGCACATGAACTGTGTAATATGCATTTTTAAATGTTATTTTTGTTTTAAGTTGATATCGGTTCCAATGATGCTGCTGATGCTAATGTCCTAGTGTCACTTACAGATGGCTGGACAGCTCAAGAAAAGAACGTTCTCAGGTTCGTTTGTAAATTTGATATTGTAACAATAATACTTTAATAATGATCGAAGTGCACAAGTTCTCAAAGTTTTAAAAATGAGCAAACATAAAGATATAACGATGATAGAAAATGTTGATTTCTGGTTTAAATTAAGGCATTTAAACATATAAGTTAATTAAGAGACTTTGCCTATGAAAGTATAGGGTGAGTAAAAAAAAGTGTGATTTGCAGTGCATGGTGCAACATTGTACTTTTTTTGTGCAACTCTCCTGTTTGGTGTTTTTTCTCAATATTTTTTGAAAATTTGTAATTTTTAGGTACTCCAATGGCCCAAAAGAAAACCCGCGAACCTTTTTTCTTTCAAATCAAAATTTCAGAAAAGCAAAATTGTGTATTTAAATTATTTCTATCGAAATCTAAATTTTTTACAGATTGAATCAAAGAATTACAGAAAATTCGCAAAATTGTAGTAAGAAAATTCGCAAGTTTTAGTTCTGTACATGACGGGTTGTGCTGGTTTAACAAAAAGATGGGAATCAACCTTCACTAGTCAAAACCCTACACAAGTTTAAAATAAGTTTTTTTAATTTTATCATCATCAAGCTTTTGACAATTGGTTTCTAATTTAACTTAAAAAATTAAAATAACATTTGGTGACACAAAAGAGATGTGTGTGAAACATAAATCATTAATACCTATTCAGTGCTATAGGAGTAGTATTGAAAGGAGAGAAGCTAGATGGAGTTATTAACGTGGCAGGAGGATGGGCTGGGGGTAACACTGTGGATCCAGATTGGGTTAAGAATGCAGATCTAATGTGGAAACAATCAGGTTTTTAAATTAGTCAGAAGTGTTAGTTTGTATTGTTAAGTTTTTTTCTGGTTATGCTGGTTTCTTTCCATCCTTAAGCTAAATTTTAAAAATTGGTTTTTTTTAGCTTTTCTCTAAAAACCATTGCCAGGGGCGGATAAAGGATTTAATTGTGAGGGGGGGGGGGGCAAAATTTGTTAGGAACAAAAAAAATAATAATTAGGAACAAAATTTTTTGACTCAACAAGACTCAAAAAGAGTCAAAATTAATCACTTAAGACTAAAAAAAACTAGATTTTTAACTTTTCGGAACAAAATTAAAGGATTACAACAGGAATTTAGAAACAATTAAATGATTGTTCAGGAATTAAAAACAAAAATAAAGGATTAGGACAGGGATTTAGGAACAATAAAAAGATTGTTCAGGAATTAGGAACAAAAATAATGGATTAGGACAGGGATTTAGGAACAATAAAAGATTGTTCAGGAATTAGGAACAAAAATATAAGATTAGGACAGGGATTTAAGGTGGGTCAGACACAGTATTAGGAACAGGAACAATAATAGGAACATTAGTAATTTAAGAACAAAAAGAAAATAACTAGTTTTACTTAAGTGCATGAAAATTAGGAACAATATTACAATTTTGATAAATGAATATTGATTAAGGAACATTACTAGATATGAACAATATTATAACTTAAGTCTAGTTTCTTACAAATTTCAATTCTAAATTTATCGTCAACAATAAAATTTACTTGTCGCTGATTTTGAAGAAAAGAAAGTCAAGATTTCCATAAAATAAAAATCAAATAGCTTGAAATTGAAAAACACATACGAATTATCAAATTGGGAACATTTTTTGCCTCGAAATCTCAGGCCTCCCTGAATCTGTCAGGGGGGGGGGGCGAAATTCCCCCCCACCCCCCTAACCATCGTGACTAGTTTCTTATAAAGAAATAATGTAAAAGTTTGTTTAAAGCAAAGTTGAGATATAAACGCAAAAAGTTTTTTTCATTTTAAAGATTTAAGTTGTCAATCTCTTAAGTACAAAATCTTTTGTTGTGGAGTTCAAGTTAGAGCTTTGTAACCTATGCTTTCCAACCCAAAAGATCCGGCAACAAATTGATATTAATAGCAAATTGTTATTAAACTTTAAAGGTCCTTGTTTTAAACTCAACTAAAACAATTTTGAAACTTGTATAAAATAATAACGATTAAATAAAATTTTAGTTTGGAGCTCAAGTATTGCAGCCAGTATAGCAGCTCACCACCTTAAGGTAGAAAACATTGATTTTTTTTTTTAAAGAAAAATGTCCAGCATTTTTTACATTAAAATCTCAGAAAGTCTTTAATGACATCACTATTTTAAAACATAATGGTTCGACATTAGACGTATGTTTCAAGTCCTTAATATCAAGTTATAATACAAATTTTAGACTGAAGGTTTATTGGTTCTTCCTGGCGCTAGACCTGCAACTGGAGGTACTCCAGGAATGATGGGGTAAGTCGAATGTTGCATAAGTAAAAGTATACCTATTCCAATCATTTCTTTCCTCTACACAATAATCTTTCAGATAAAAAAAACTGTAAGGGGCTGTAAGCGAAATTTTAAGTGCCCCTCCATGCAAAGATATCAATGTCCGATTTACAACGGCACCCTTGAAACCTTAATATGATCAAAATGTGGAATTTACCGTCGTTTTCTTGCTTGAAAAGTGTTTATTTCTATGAGTAGCTCCGTTGCTTTTATTAAACAAGGAATGAGCAAGTCCCTTTTCCAAAAATACCGCAATTGAAAATAAAAAGTAAAAAACCGATTAATTATAATTCATACTTGATCAGAAAAGCTTTCAAAGGAACTGCGATAAATCAGGCATTGCAATCTCTGCATGAGGTGTCACTTGAAATTACACTTATAGTCCCTTTAAAACCTATTTTTTGTTCTTTTACCCCAAAGCTTCCTTACACTTGATCCCCTAGATATGGAATGGCAAAAGCGGCAATCCATCAGCTAGTCAAGAGCCTTGGATCAGAATGCTCCGGTCTTCCTTCTGGAGCATGTGCTCTGGGTATACTTCCTGTAACTCTAGACACCCCGATGAACAGGAAGTTCATGCCAGATGCTGACACGTAAGTTTAATTCTCGATTATAAGGACTGTACAGAAAACATGAAACCTAAAAACCTCAGGAGTTTAATGAGACCTGTAAGAGTTCTATCTTATGTTCGATCCTGTCTTGATAAATTGATAAAAATCTGTGTCAAAATTATTACAAAACTTATATATGTAAGATTTGGTATAATAAGTTTAAAACAGATCATGTTCAGCAAATATGAAACCAATCTGAAAACGACAATATCCTAGTGGAGCCTGAAAAACTCAGGTTTGCTCCTATTATTATTTGATTTGATATTTAATAACTTTTCATTCTTAATAGATATAATTGAAAATATAAATACTACGTTTGAATCACGTGACCACAACTCCCACCAATGGCAGTGCAGTTTCATTGTCACGTGTCTCCGTCTGTATCATGTGACATAGCTATGTCCAATCAGTATACATTTTTTAAGCGTGCATTGCCACTTTATGATTAAATAAGACCCAAAGTTAAATAAAGTGCTTTAAAGACGACTTTTTAGGTCAACTTGGACACCATTAACAGAAGTGGCAAGAATCCTAAATAACTGGCTGGAGAACAGAGAGCGACCCAGGTAAAACATGGTTTTGTATTTTTAAAATTTTTATTTCTGATATATAATATAGAATATTTATTTTAGTTCTGGAAGCCTAGTTGCCATGCTTACTGAGAAGGGAAACACTTTTTTGCTCCTGGAGAATTGAAGATTAGGGATGAGAAAAACTATGTAAATTCTAAGAAATTTTGTTTTGAAATAAAAAGATTATTTCTGTAATGAAAGAAAAAAGACCACTTTCTTCACCATCTTGTTTAAAGTAATTTTTAATGGTTCTTATGGGAGGAAATGGGTGATTTTAAAGAGACAATTAGAGAAAATATTTATCATTTAATGTCTTTAATGACTTCTGCTTTCCGAAAAATTAAAATAAAAAAGTAACTATAGTGAAAAATTTACCAAATATGAGATTTTAAAATTAGAATTTGTAAATGTTCTCTGATTTAACACCACGTGCTTGAAGTGTAGATAGTATAGAATTCATATAGTCCTTACTTCCACACAAACAGACGAAGATGTTATCAGTATTCTCAGTGTCAACCTCGCTGAAAGATCTCCAATTGACCAAGTAATAAAAAAATAAAATTTCTTAAAATTAATGCAAATGGAATTTGACTTTAAAATAATTCCGAACTATATTTTTTGTAAAAGGTTATCTTTAAAATTCATTTGGTTTAAACAAAACAATCTTTTTAAAAAGAAAATAACTTGATAACAATTGTTGGTTCAGATGTAACAAAAAAATGCAAAAGCTCACATGTTGGAACGTTTTAAATCTATGCACATCTTAATTACAAAAAAATTTGGAAAAAAGCTTTGAAAATCTTTTCCTTTCAATGTGTTCGTTGGTTAGTCTCGAGTTTACCACCTTTAAATTAGGTCCTATCAGTTTTTTATCTGAAAATAAAGAAATATATATACAGTGATAACTAGAAAACTGTAGAATAGGAAGACGACATTGAAGCAATGTTAAAGTGTATTTGATGTTGTTACAAAGCAAGTTATTAAATCCCTTATTAAGTGAAATGGGCCTGCTTACACTGCAAAATTGCTGTGCCTCATGTTCATAATTTGAGTCTAAAAGTCGACTTCATATTCAAAAGTTTTCTGGTTCTCTCTGTATTTAATTTTGTCAGGGTTTAAAAATAAATTCAAAAAGTTTATTTCAGAAATCCTCTTTTGTTTAAAAATTCATTTCTTCTTTTTTAACCCAAATATCAATAAGATATTGTAACCTGTATTAGTGGTTAAAAATATGTTGACAGAGAAGTTCCAAAAATGAGAAAACTCAACCAAGCTCTCTATCAATTTTTACCCAAAAATTATGGACACTACAGTGATAGTCTGAATAAGCCGGAATAATGTTAATTGATTCATTAGTCGTCTTTGATCTTAAAAATAGTTAGCGGAATTCAACATTGGTTACCGGATTGTAGCAATAAATTTGAATAGAAAAGCTTTTGTACTGCCATTTCCAAAATGGGGTCTGTCGCCTTAGTGCTTTTACAATTACCGGAGATATGAATGATTTCGTTTAGAATGAGACATTTTCATGGTTTGATTCAATTAATTGAATTTTTAAAAAAATCTTTGGTATTCATGCGAGCAAAAGAATGGCAGACCACATTTTGGAAATGGCAGGATTGGGGCTGTTCTGTAATTATTGTGTCGTTAAAAAATTTTGCCGCAAACTATTTATAAGGTCAAAGACAACTATAAAGTATCAATCAATGAACATTAATTAGACTATCACTGTAAATCAAATCAAATCAAATCAAATCAAATCAGAAGACATGAAAAATTTTCATAAAATATAATTAATAAAAAACATGTTTTGTAAAAATATCCCTTTGAGTAATATTTCTCCAAATCCAGCAGCAGAGTAAATCATTCTATAAAAAATTATTTGAGAATGTTTTTCGTCTTTAGAAAATGTTAATTTTGTGATTTAAAAATGTAAAAAAAATGTTTAGCATTAACAGATATTGTGCAGCATATTCACAATCAATATATTTATCTTTTAAGGTGAAAAAAAGAAAATTTAAAGCAAACAAACTAAAGTGCATGCATGAAAATGTGATTTTTACTTTTTTAAATATAACAAAATATCAATTTGTACCTAATTTTTGTTTCATCCTTCTCGTCATCTAAAATCCGCCGAACTATTGATAAATATGGCACTATCCCTGTACCCTTGATCAAACAAACATTCAGATTTAAAAAACGCTTTAAAATTATTAATTTCTTTTATCCTTAATGTTTGTTGTTGAACAGTTTTGTATCCGGTTATTTCCTGACAGAATAGAATAAGTTGACAATATCTTCCTGGCTTATGTTCGAAATCCCCGAAAGGTCCTCGGAAAAGCACGTGGCAACCAAGTTTCCAGTTTCTTATCAAAGACGACATTCTTCCCTTTTCGTATAGTTTGATGAGAAGGTCGAAGTATCCTGCATCCAATGGTTTTGATAGTACGCTGTATTGACGGGTCAGGTAATCACGAGAACTGGTAGAGGAGGAAGCACGGATGATCACATGTTGACCTGCGTACATCAAGATATTCAAATTCAGTTGTTTTGGTCTCAAGGTTGTATAATAAGGTTGCTTAGTCTTTCTCTCGATGCGCTCCAATGTGCGGAAAATCTCCTCAGCGTATATACAGAGCGTCTTAACTCATATTAATTATCTCCAAGCTTTAACGCCTGAATACGTACGTAATGCTAGAAAAAAAGTATTTTCTGCATACAAATTTTTTTATTAGTCTTCAGATTTTTTTTAATTATTTAATTCTTTAAAAATTTTCTGATTAGTCCCGAAAATCGCAATTTAGACCTTAAAACGATCCAATATGATTTGGGACACAAGTGACGTCACGCTCTCCTCTATAATTAGTGACGTCATATGCGGGTTCTTTCTATGCTAAGGAGACGACATTGTCTGTACATTGGAGCGCATCGAGAGTATTATTATACAACCTTGCTTGGTCTGCGCTTTAAACTTTAAACTTTTATGCGGCCCCAGAGAGAAAAATAAATTCAGTGCATAATCAGCCAAAATATTACGACACTGCTGACCACATCCTAATACAAGCTGTATTAGGATTTCTAAAACGCTATTATTTTTCAGACACAAATATTTTGATTTTGACATAAATTGGGAGAACTTTTTCAGACTTTTAATCTCGAAAAAACTATATTGCATATAAGGAATTTCAAAACTTGAATATTTATAATTACACCATTTGAATTTGAGAAGCAATCAAATATGTCTAAACGGTCAATATTTGTGAAAAATTGAGGCTGTAGCTAACACTACGGTTTATTTTAATGAAATTATGAATTTCTTTATGAATTTAGTATATTTTCATATCTTGTGTCCCAGAAGACGGTTCTGTGGAAGCTTGAATCTAAATCTTCTTACATCCTCAGTAATATCTTCCTGCTCTATCAATTCAAACTCTGTGTAACAGTTCACATTCATCTAATAAAACACTTTCATAGTAAGATATCTAGAAAAAACTAATAGTAATATCCTTGAAATTCTTGTGAAACGGAAGAAACATTAAAAAAAAAGTATATTTGCTTTATTAAAGAGAATGTCAACGTAATTTAAGTAACACTCCACTTACGGAAGGGTATTTTCGATACACAACGGTACCCTTTAAACCTGAGCAAAACTGATGCAGCTGTTCCTGTTCTCTCTCAACAAATTGATATTCAGCCATAATCAGAAAGACTCATAATTAATTTTTAATTAATCAGACGATTTTACAATCTAAGTTTTCAAATATGATAAATGAAACGATAAGATCAAAAAGCCCTAGTCCTTCCAATTCTCAAATGTGGTCTGCCTAAATTTGGCGTTTAAAATTACCAGATATATATTTGCAAAGTCGTCTGATTAACAGTCAATTAATTACCGGGTCTTTCTTGTTACGACTGTATCAAATGTAGTTCATTTTAAAAAGTCATTTAAACAATGAACAAAAAATGGAAAAATTGTGACAGTTAATCCCATTTCAAGATAAAGGTTTCAAGTGTCCTGCGTATCCGGTATACCCTTTTTATATTAGAGGATCACTTTAAGTTAAAATAATTACATAAATATCGACATAAATATAGAAAGTGTAACCTGGGATATAGAGGAGACGGTTTTTAGCTTTGCAATTTTCAGTTCTTGCTCATATATGTCAAATATACACGGAGTACAACCTGAACCACAACAATCAGAATCCAGGGGGGGTACAGGGATACTCCTCCCAGGTTCGTAGTCAAGGTTCTCTTCGTCTTGAAAGCATTGCAAATCCAACACTGGAAGGCTTGATTGTGGCGAATTCTGCTCTTTATTGATAGAAGTTGTAGTTTTCTTTTCTGGATTTACGGACTGCAGGATTTGCATATGGATTCCGTCTGTTTCTTCTTGCAAAGTTTGATCTAAAGGGCTGATGGTTTGCATTGTGTAACTCTATCCATTTATTGAAAGGGCTGGCACAAGAACGCTTCTGAGAGGCGGCTGGTGTAAGATTTGCATGTGCACTTAGTCTATTGTTGCTATATATTACAAAACCCTCTGATTCAGCATTTTCTTAAGATATCTGAAAAATTCAAATTCTAAAATATTTCATGGAAAGCTTGATATATTTTACTGATTTACACCCGGAGCACAATTTTTCTATTCGAGTTATGAGAAGATAGCAAATATCGAACTTAAAAAATAATCAAAACTACGGAACATGGACTGCAGCGTTTGAAAGAAATGTGAACAGTGAACACACTCGGTCATAGTGGCACCTCTTTTGGGAACATTTTAACTGGCACTGTCCCCAATACCACTCCGTTCAAACCAGCCTTGATTTCAAGTCCTGGTTCGAATATTGAGACTCTAAATTACTTTTTTGCATTATCAGTATCATTTTCATTCCACGTTATACTTTGTAACAAAAATTTAAAATAACAGGATTTGCATTCTAATCATTTAATTAATTTATTTTTCATTTTATAATGAAAGAAATAAACGAATACATATAAATTAAAAGTTAACATACAGTTCAGAAGGTCAGCTGAATATCACAATTAAAGAAGAAGTAGCAGGTTTAATATCCACAAAAATTGTACAGTGTACATTGAAAAATTTACAGTGTACTGTACAGTCAAGACATTGAATTTGATTTTTCCGAATTAAAAATTCCATAATACATACTATTAGCAATGTAAATCAACACTGTTTAGCGTACAGTGCACAGTATACACTATACAGTATCGACACTGCTCAGAGTACAGTGCACACTATACACTATACAGTATCAACACTGTTCAGCGTACAGTGCACAGTATACAATATACAGTATCAACACTGTTCAGCGTACAGTGCACAGTATATACTATACAGTATCAACACTGTTTAGCGTACAGTGCACAGTGTACACTAAACAGTATCAACACTGCTCAAAGTACAGTGCACAGTATACACTATACAGTATCAACACTGCTCAGAGTACAGTGCACAGAATACACTATACAGTATCAACACTGTTTAGCGTACAGTGCACAGTATAAACTATACAGTATCAACACTGTTTAGCGCACAGTGCACAGTATACACTATACAGTATCAACATTGTTCAGCGTACACTGCACAGTATCAACACTGCTCAGAGTACAGTGCACAGTATACACTATACAGTATCAACACTGTTCAGCGTACAGTGCACAGTATATACTATACAGTATCAACACTGTTTAAAGTACAAGTCACAGTATACACTATACAGTATCAACACTGTTCAGCGTACAGTGCACAGTATATACTATACAGTATCCACACTGTTTAGCGTACAGTGCACAGTATACACTATACAATATCAACACTGCTCAGAGTACAGTGCACAGTATACACTATACAGTATCAACACTGTTCAGCGTACAGTGCACAGTATAAACTATAAAGTATCAACAATGTTTAGCGTACAGTGCACAGTATATACTATACAGTATCAACACTGTTTAGCGTACAGTGCACAGTATACACTATACAGTATCAACACTGTTCAGCGTACAGTGCACAGTATATACTATACAGTATCAACACTGTTCAGCGTACCGTGCACAGTATACACTATACAGTATCAACACTGTTCAGCGTATAGTGCACAGTATACACTATACAGTTTAAGATTTGGGAAAATATATTCATTGTAAAAACTACTTTACCATATTCATTTTAAGGTTGTTATAACAATATGCAGCGAGACATGATTTTACCAATGACCTTCATATGGAATTTTTAATATTAGAAAAATAAAATAAGCATTAATAATTTAAATTAATTCATAAAAACTAAATATTTCAGACGAAAAATGCAAAAAAAAAGTTTTGCTGAAAAGAATGAACTTAAAATTAGATAGATTCGTGATTTAATAACTATTTATAACATTGTTCTTTGGTTCGCAATGTTAAAAAGTGTTGGACAGAAATTTCCTCTTCATTTAGATTTAATTTTGCCCTGAGCTTTAGCGAGAGACAAAATATAATTAAAAAGGCGAGAACCTTCGAGCTATAGAGAAAATTTAAGTCAAAAACTGTATAGCACGTCTTGCCAAAATAATAGTGTTATAGGTAATTTTATGAAACGTTTGTCTTATTTAAATGGCTATTTCTAGGTCAAATAAGCTTTAAAACAAAGCAGAAGTCAAAATTTAAAGTTGATTTCAATTTATTTTCATTACAATTGAAAAAAAATATTTTGGAAATATCCTCACTTTTTTTAAAGAAAATCCAGGAACCAATCAAAACTTTATAGCTATAATGTACAGGTAATTTACCTTTATAGCACGATAATTACTTTATAGCACGATCATTATGAACTTCACGATGAAGTGAGGAAGAATGAAAAAGTACACAATAGTTTCATAAATAATGATAGAAAGTTAAAACCTAGATCAATTGTATAGCACTGCTAAAATACAACCCACTGGAGATTACTGGTAACTATTGATTAAAAATCTTCTTTTTAAAGGGACTGTTGGCGTGAATTCAAGAAACCTTCAATTTGCATGGTTGCCGTTGATTATTCACAGTACAGTACAGTGTACACTTTAACCCTTAAACATGCTCAATAACCTTTTTTTCGCGTCTCTTCTGCATTTAAAAGAACCAGCAATCAATTTTTAAATCGTAAAACAAGGATATATCCATAATTTTAGTTACGACATAGGTTTGAATGTAGAGTTTATGCTTTTTAATGGAGGGGCACTGAATCAATTTAACAGTGCCTTTTATTTATATTTCATGAGAAGAAAGCTAATATTTGTAACCATGCTCTTCAAAAATACCTTCAACTGGGGTTATTAACCCCTAGATTAATCTTTGGAGTCTTTAATTCACGAATTACATTTAAATTTCCTAATTAGATCAGACCGAATGAATTTTATGATTCCATTGGAACCTCTGCTGTATTTTATTGGTTTTGGTTGTGGAGACCTTTCAACGATTCATCCATAGGCTGATTGGTCTCGTTCACCTAAAAAGTTCAAGTTGTGATAAAGTAATAAATATTTGGTAATTCATACATCTNCTTCCACCTCATGCTGTTAACCTATGATACCTAAAACTATTTAATATATGGGGATTTGAAAATAAGAGGGAAAAGTTACCTGAAACTTTCCCTCTGCGTTCAAACCAAGGAGTATGAAATAGAAGGGAGATATAACTGACGCGGCGCGCCCTACCATATGATTATACATGCTTTGCAGACGGTACTTCATTTGTATACGAAATTTTCAGAATAGGTTATTGTATACGCGGTAATTGTAAATCAGACAAATATTTCCTAATCAAATGAAGTACCGCCTGCACAGCATGTATAACCATATGGCAGGGCGGGCTGCGTCAGTTGTATCTCCCTTCTATTCCATACTCCTTGGTTCGAACTTGACATAAAAAAGTTGCTTGCAAACGTAAGTAAAAATTACAAGAAAAAGCAAAAAAGTTGAAAAAAAACTTTTTCTTTTGAGTAACCCTATGAATAAAAACCGATTGACAGGTTTAATTGTGAAAGTACGAAAGGGGAAAAAGCGAAAAATTGAAAAAAGCAAAAGATTTTTATCTTAATATTTCAATTTTATTCACCTGGTTCAATTTTGGTGGAACATTCTCTGAGTTTTCTGTATTTGAATCCCAATTGATCTTAAACTTTGTCACTCTAAAAACAAGAACAAAAATCAATATGATCTCAAACTTAGTCACTCTCAAAACAAGAACAAGAATTAATATAACCTCAAACTTTGTCACTCTCAAAACAAGAACAAGAAATAAAATGATCTCAAATTTTGTCACTCTCAAAACAAGAACAAAAATTAATATGATCTCAAACTTTGTCACTCTCAAAACAAAAACAAGAATAAATATGATCTCAAACTTTGTCACTCTCAAAACAAGAACAAGAATAAATAAGATCTTAAACTTTGTCACTCTCAAAACAAGAACAAGAATAAATAT